ATTATTTAAATTTATATGCCGCCCACACTACCCAACAACATTTAAAATACAATAAAAATTTAGAACAATTAAAATACAGTTAAATATATATAAAAATTGCCATCGGACCCACAGCTAATATTATTTACTAAGGATGTGTAAAGCATTTGTATATTAATATTTCAAAGTAATGTGGTTCAGCGGGAAACCAGCCACTTTGCTTGACCTGCATCGAATAGAACAGAGAAGCATCACTACCTTGAGCTCCATTTCTCTGGGTGCTAAATATAATGCCCTAATAATCATACAGCTTGATGATCAAAGAGCTGAAACTCACTCCATTTAATTGGTGGCCGTAACTGTGTACTTTGCCTCAGTTTAGTGTGTAAGATGCACACTGAACTAATTTTAATTAATTAAAATTTATTAAACCCAAATTAAGAAGCAGTGAATAAAGCATCATACGTGAAAGCCTTCACGAATACATCATACGATTGTTGTTGCATATTGATAATAAAAGGCTGTTGCATTCAAAATGAATATTGATTGTAAAAGTATGTCTTTAAGGTGCCAGTGCTTAACAGAGGACACATTGTCTGTCAGAAGAACAACTCTTTATTTGAAAGCATTCTGCACTTGAAGGGCTATATGATCCTACACTAGTTTACAAATAAAGAAACGAGAGAGAATAAGGATCTTGAAGCTGGGATCAGAGCCACACAGTAGAAGTCAGAATACAAGAGGTGGCCCAAAGCAGCTTCCTTAAGATGAAGAATGTAATAAGGAACAATAACATTGGCCTTGTAAATGCACACTGCATTGTGTTACATAGTCTCAGTTCTTCTGTATGGTGTGGAATCACAGGCATAAAAAAGATAGAAGCATCTGAAGCATAGATCCTCCTGTGGGTGGCCAGGCTGAAGGAGGCCAGAAAATAGTCAGCAAGAGGACTGGCCGCCTTGGCGGTGGACCCATCTTTTTCGAATTGCCTCTTGATGGAGTTACACCTGCCCCCCCACCTTCCCTAGTTTTAAGAGGCTGCTGAAGATGCATGCCTTTTGAGAGGCTTTCCAAGGCAACCTACTTGAATGTTCGCCATTGTACTGCTGCTCTGAAATGCTGTGCCATCACAGCTTAATGCTGCTGTTTGGTTTTTATATTTTGATTGTTTCTGTAAACTTCATGGTTTTTATATGTACACTGCCCAGAATAGTGCTCTGCACTAACGGGGGGTGGGTGGGTTATAAATAATAAGAAATAAATAAATTTACCATAGGACAGTAAAAATTTATCTGATCAAGAGAGTGTCAAAGAAATAAGGTGAATGAATAAAGACTGGAAGGTCATAAAACATACATGGTCAGTATCCCATTCAGAGCTGAAGGACCAATATAAAAGGTAAAGGTAAATGTTCCCCTTGACATTTTTAGTCCAGTTGTGTCCGACTCTAGGGGGCGGTGCTAATCCTGTTTTTCAAGCCGTAGAGCCAGCACTTGTCCAAAGACAGTTTCCGTTGTCACGGGGCCAGCATGACTAGGGAACACCGTTTTGCTTTCCCACCAAGATGGTACCTATTTATCTACTCGCATTTACATGCTTTTGAACGGCTAGGTCGGCGAGGAACTGGGACAAAGCGACGGGAGCTCACTCCATCACATGGATTCGATCTCACGACTGCTGGTGTTCTGACCCTGCAGCACAGGCTTCTGCAGTTTAGCCCGTAGCGCCACCACGTCTGTTGAAGGTCCAACATACGACCAATCTCACAGTTGGTTCAAGATTGGGCACAGGGAAGCCTGCTGAAGTGGAGACAATGCTTACAAGTCTGCTTGTCCATGATCACATAGTTCAACTGGATTTTGCTCACAGAATGCTAAAATACTTTGGTCAGATAATGAGAAGGGAGAAACACAGGTTGTTCTGTCTGATCATTTAAGATAAAACAAATGAATTAGAGGAAATAGAAAAAATATTAACTGAAGAACCAAGAGTCCAAAGTCCTGATAGCAGTGATGATGTCCTGCATCAAGAAAGAGAAGAACCACTAGTACTGCTACTAGTAGTAGTAATCTTCATAGTTTCTCATCTGCACCTAGTAACAGAGCAGCAAATTGAGCAGCCATAGAGGTTACCTGCTTGCCATCTTCCCTGCCAGGGTGAGATTATTCACTCCTACATAAATTACAGTAATTAATTCTATAATAGCGTCTTCCCACATAAATCAGCAAATGTATATTTAATTTAAAACTGCATGATCTGCTATTGTCTTCTTTCAGTATACGTTTCTTCTTTATGAACAATGTGTATCCTCAAAAGATACATATACATGCCTGAATTCAGTTGCTATTGCCAGCTAAAGTAGGTTTATTGAATCAATGGGAGTGTGTACATCAACAGTTAAGTGATTTTTACTGATAAAGTGGGTGTACTCTAGCTGAAACTAACACTGGATTTAGGCCACTGTTTGTAAGTATTCCTTGTTTATATTTGGAGGCCAGATCATTTACTTCCTCTTTGGACATTTGTCCCCTGGAAACGACCTTATGCTGCCAAAATAGTCCACCTTTTCCTGCCAGATTCAGTATTAATAGCTCTAGCAGAATGTTTTGCCCATCTGTCTAGATGTCAGTCTTGGGACAAAACAAACTTGCAGAACTCTAATGTTTGGTTGAATTAAGGTGGACGTTCAGAATCTCTCTCCCCAAAACTGAAAATGTACAAATGCAGTAAAAAATTTGAACTCAACATCTGGGTCTCTAATGCGAATATCTGGCTGGACATCCTGGTTCTAAATGTTTCATCAAAGTGGCTAATAATAGTTATTATGTATAACTAAGAACGATACAGCAACGAAATCCTTCTAAGGTAAATAGCTTTAAATGAAATAATTTATATGAAAAAAGGCAGAATTCACAGGATTAATTTTAAAAGGACAATTTAAAATAAATAGGATTAGGATTAGGCATCCTTCAGTCTCAAGAGACTATGGTAACGTGCTCTGAATAGAGGTCTTGGAACAGCATCTAGTGTGGCTGAGAAGGCCAATACAAGGGTGACAATCCCTTCCACACTGAAGACAAATACAATCTGTCCCCTGTCCAGCTCCCTGATTTTGCTGCTTTCAGGACTGCCTCTTTGCCTTGGCCTGCTGAACAAGTGTCTCTTCAAAATGGGATCTCTTTATTCATCTAAATGGGATAAGATAAATACAGATGTTGATAATGCATTTACTCCTTTCTCTACTGCTTACGTCCAGGCTTTTACCAATTCTTGGGTGGTGGTTGTAGTTAAATATGTACATGTCAGAATCCTGCTAGTAGGTAACAGAGAAGAATGAAAAAATACATACCTTTTGCTATTTCAGGTTAATTCAAAATGCACCAATCGCCCTTGGGTAGCTTTCCAATTACCTGACTGAATCACACAAAAATATTATCTTCTGCCTTGAGCATTTTGCAACAGGAGAATAAAATATTTATCTCTCTGTTCTCACTGTGCATTGGCATTGTGAACTGCAGCTTTAAAAATTTTGGAGGGTGGGTGGGTATAATTCTTTTATTTCCTTCCTTTCTCGATATGCTAGCTCTGAGCAGTGCAACATTATATTCCCCTAAGAGCTTGTCTCACACAGCATGGCACCATTTTAATGGTCAGAGAGCATTCGTTCACTGACTCGGATGAGGGAAGGCACCGCGCCACACAATGTCTGCTCAGCATCCCTTCAGGATGAAGAGCAGTACAAAGCTGAGTCTTTGGGCCTTGCCTCTGATCAAGCCTCGTACAAAGCTGAGTCTTTGGGCCTTGCCTCCTCTGATCAAGCCTATTTGTCTTAGCCTGTATCATGAATTTCATTTCAATAGACATCACGTATTCCTGTATTTTTATTAGTGTTGCTGGCTTTTGCTTTAGAGTAACCATGTGCTCTGCTTTACAGAGGACAGTCCTCTGACTGAAGATGCCCCCTGTATCTGAAGGTCTGTGTAAAGGGCCCTATGTCATAGGTGTTGGGAGGGGGAGCGTGGGGGGTTGTGGCACCCTCCAGAATCAATCTATGCAACTTACGTTATCATGTCATGATGCAGTTCCTTGTATTGGAAAATCTCCTGAAGATGCCCTAGCCTAAGTACAGAGTGAAGGTGCCTTGTTGCCAAGGTTGAAGTGAAGCTGCCAGTGGTCTTGCTTGATTGTTGTGGTTCTAGTCCCCCAAAAAGCAGTGATTCCCATCTCTGCCCCCAACCCTTCCTGGCTAGCCAACTAAACTCAGGTTGCCTGAGTTGGAGTAGGAAATGCCCCTCACCCCCACCTCCATTCACGCTACTCAGAGTCTATCTCATCCAAAGCCAGCTAATGTATTTTATGAAATGAGGCCATAAACTCCAAAAGCGCCCTCCCATCCTTGGCACCAACAATATAGCAATGAGAAATCAAGTAACTGATAAACAGCTTCATGCCATTTATGCTGAAGAATTGATGCTTTTGAATTGTGGTGCTGGAGGAGACTCTTGAGAGTCCCCTGGACTGCAAGGAGAGCAAACCTATCCATTCTGAAGGAAATCAACCCTGAGCGCTCACTGGAAGGACAGATCCTGAAGCTGAGGCTCCAATACTTTGGTCATATCATGAGAAGAGAAGACTCCCTGGAAAAGACCCTGATGTTAGGAAAGTGGGAAGGCAAGAGGAGAAGGAGACGTCAGAGGACGAGATGGTTGGACAATGTCACCGAAGCAACCAACATGAATTTGGCACAACTCCGGGAGGCAGTGGAAGACAGGCGAGCCTGGCGTGCTCTGGTCCATGGGGTCACGAAGAGTCAGACACGACTTGACTAAACAACAACATTCACACCACCTAAAATAGGCAGGCAGAGGCACCGGGCTCCCTCACCCTTATGTGAGGATGAATCCTTTAAGAAACCTGCATGGGTCCACTGCAAATTATCCAGGCCTGTCTTGGAAAACTTTCATCTGTCTTCCCAGCTAGTTCCTGCCCCTTTTCCCAGTGATTGCCAGCTTGGTAAGTGTGGTGAACCAGTCTGTGGATCATGGTTAGTGCAAGAAAAACAATTCTTTTTGGCATCTGTTTTTCAGCTCATTTGAAAAGTGTGATAACAGTTGCCTGTACATCTCTGCAGATGACACCAAAAAAGGATTTTTCAGCTGACACGTTAATTGTTGACACTGATTACCATTCTGGCACTGCTGTTATAGTGATCTCTGTTTCCTTGAGAGCAGCTGAACTGGAAGAAATGACAAGAGGCACAGCCTCCTCTGCCTCTTACAGGATGATATTACATGTACAGCTGGTAATTCATACCATTGAGGTCCACCCTGTCATTCTAATGTAGATATCTTTTTATTTTTTAAGTCACTTCTGAAATACATTACTCTGGATGTGAAATACAGTAGAGCCCGGGTAGAAGATACAGTAGGACCCCCATAACCGCTGGGAATCTGTTCCAAGCCCCCTGTCGCCACAGGTGCTGAAAAATGTGTATTATAGAGAACCCTATTTTAATAGCAAATGCTATACATAGCTCCCTCTAGTGTCCAGCTCTAGTAACTTAACCTTTAGAAATATATATTTCTAGGATTTTTCTTTTAATATTTTTAATATTTTCAGGCTGTAGACAAGTGAATCAGCAGGTACTGATTCTGTGGATAAGGTGTTTTTACTGTATTAATACTTATATGCATCAAGTATCTTCTGACTTTTGGTCACCTTTCCCAGGTTTTCTAAGTACTGCATACACTTTTTACCATTTTCTTCTGAGGGTGCCCTGGGACTGTGCAGCATGCCCAAGGCTACACAGACTGGCTTTTCCCCAGAGGCACAGTGGAGAATTAAACTCCCAACCCAGCCAGTGACACACACACACACACACACAGAGAGAGAGAGACACACACACACACACACACACACACACAGAGACACACACACAGAGACACACACAGAGAGAGAGAGTTTATTCTAATAATTGTACAGCATGCTCCAGCACCCTCCCCAACCACCAATTGGAGCCACCATGCCAGGACAGGAGGCTAGCTGGGCCACTGCCATCAGCCGGGCAGCTGAATTCACTGCCAGCAACAGGGGCCGTAGTAAGTTCAAAACCCACCTTTTTCAAGCCACTTCCTGGAGATGAATAGGAACATATTATTTATTGAATAGTTATTTATTTATTG